CTCCATAGTCTGGGTCCTTGGTCTCCAAATGAGATGGAAAAGTTGCTCTCATCAGAAAAGAGAACCTTGGACCACTGAGCCACAGGACTTTGGACCACTGTGCTTCATTAAGACCAGGGTCAACGCATCCGTCTACCAGGAAGTTTTGGAGCACTTCATGCTTCCTTCTGTAGATGAGCTTTATGGGGATGCTGACTTCATTTTCCAGCTGTCCACAGTGCCAAAAGCACCAAAACCTGGTTCAACGACTGTGGGATTCAAAAATATAAGCCTTCAAGATCCCTTAATGTCTATCTAATTACGTAATTTTTCCCTACTTTAGGCAAGGCTGAGCTCTATAGAGTCTCCATTTTGCTCTTCCAACAACTCGGCCACACCAGCACCCAGCCATTCTGCAAAGTACTTCAAGTGATCATCATTCCAGAGCTTGTTTTTCCGCAATGCTTCTGCGGCCTCAGAGTGGAAACATTTGAAGAGCGCCTTCTATTCCCCCCCCCTCCTTTCTCAAGGGAGCAAAACGGCTCTATCCCTCATGCAGAGTCAAGGGAGGAGAGGCAGGAGCATAATGCAGCAGTAGAAAAGCTTAAGAGCTGATTAGCACAGCTGGTTGCAGGCAGGAAAAAAAGGAGAAAGAGGATGGCCAAAATCTAGCAAGCTTGTTTTTTTTTAAGTTCTCCTAGAGAGTCTTACTGGGTTCTGGCAAAAGGACTACTGCTGAAGGAAGATGGCTATCTTTGTATAGATGTGTATGAATGAAAACAGAGAGAATGGGGATGAGGGCTTGGCTTCCTTATTAAGACTTAAATGTGCACTAAAATGCACAGATATGACAGGCAAAATGCTCACCAAGATGGAGTCTTTGCTTTTCAGCTGCACTTCCTCTGTACTGAATAGAGCATTTCAGTCTTGCTTTGCAGACAGCATTATACTGTAGCCAGAATATGAGTCCAGCGATGGTCATCGGGTACAGTTTCCAGCTGATGAATTCCTGTCTATTCACATTGTTCCCTCAGTCTCTGGACTTTACAGCCCAAACGTGGTAGCTACAGCATGAAACTCCAACAGGTTGAGTGGATGAATAGTGTGGGAAGAAGGAGAAGGAGGAACAAGGAAAAAGCTGACGTTGTTTTGTTGTTAAATAGGCCGGGATATACACTGGCAGGAGCTGATTAATAAAGCTAACTTACTTCTTTTTTAAAAAATATTATTATGTGCCATCACATCATTTTCATCTCATGGTAACTACACAGATTCTCTCCATGATAATCGAGCCTTAACCTGTTCTTTCAAGCCTCCCAGAGTTGCACTCATTGCCACAGTAACTGAGTTCATTCACCTCTTCTTCTCTTTCCCTCCATGTTTCCCAACATCAGAGCATTTTCTTGAGATATGAATCTTCACATAATCCTGCCCACAGCTGGATAACTTGAGCCTGGTGATCTGTGCCTCGAGTGAAAACTCCTGGTTGATTTGTTTGATGATCCATTAGCCTTTTGGTGGACGGCCATTTTTACATCTTCAGGAGTTTTTTCGAACAAGAAAAGACCAAATTTTACTTCCAGGGTATCACAGGGAATACCATTCTGGATACCATTCCATACCATACTTATGCCATTCTGATTTTAGTAGGAATAGACACATCACAGTATTTGAATATATTTTCCAATACCTTCATGGCTGCTCCGCGCACCTTAGTGTACCCAAACCTTAGCGTGTTCCAACAGTTGCCTGGAGATGTGGTTAACAAACAACATTTGTTTTAATTGAGTGTATAAGGAAGTGTTTTTCAGGTGCATGGGAGTTGACAAACAAGAACATCCCAGGATTTTAAGATCTGCTGATTCTTATTTATATGCTTATCCATGAAGCAGTGGTCCTGTAAAATTTCAACAGTAATTTCCCTTTTCCATATATTTTTTTTCCAGTTAAGCACTACATCAGGGGTGTTAAACTCGTGGCCCATGTGCTGGCCACGCTCACCCCCCAGTTTAGCCAAGGGGGGGAGTTGTGATACATCACCTGATGATGTGACATCACGAGTTTGACACCCATGCACTCCCAAATTTACAAGGCCTTAGAACAGTGTTTCTCCACCTTGGCAACTTGAAGATGTCTGGACTTCAACTCCCAGAATGCTGGCTGGGGAATTCTGGGAGGTGAGGTCCAGACATCTTCAAGTTGCCAAGGTGGAGAAACACTGCCTTAGAATATGAGGCAAGAATCTCCTGAAACTTACCAAGCCTAACAATTTGCTCCCAATTTCTAATTTTTCATTTTCTCCACCTTCCAAGAAGAGACAACGGCTACAGCAAAAGCTGCTGGGACGTAAAGACCAAAGTTTCAGGCTCAAATGATTAACAGAAACCACAAGTTTTGTGATCCCTGCCACGTGGCCACTGGTTAGATTTGCAGGTCGTTTTCAGTTCACTGCAACACAACCTTCTTTGTTGTCACCAATTGTGTATTGCAAATGACTTTGGGAGCTTGTTACTACTGGCTGAATAGCTATAAAAAGGGGGACAGGATGAGTGGTCCGTCTCTCCAAATTTTGAAAAAAGAAACAAAACATTGGGGAAATGTATTGAAATGTGTGTTCCAAATACAGTGTGAGAATTTATGGGCAGGAGAGGAGCTGGAATGTTTGCAATTGAAAGCGAAACACCCAGTAGCCAATGTTTTGGCTTGGGGAGAGGTTGTGAGAATCCTTGTGTGAATGTTTTGTCACCTAATTCTCCGGCACGCAACCCTGCCTTTCACCTGGACATGGTTCACCCAAGGTTAGCACTTCTCAGGTGTCAGATATGAAATAATCAGTCAGCCAACCCTCACAGGAACAAAATAAAACCAGAGGCCTAAGAATTGAAATCCTTTGATATGGTACCTGGGCAACTGAAATTTTTACAAGTAATTGACATCCCACATTTGGATACTCAATCTTGAATGGAACATTTTATCTTGAAATTCAAGGAGCTTCCGATCCATTGTCCTTGCTTTTAGAGTTTGGCACTCATCCAACATGAAAAGTTGTTAACTCTCTGTGTCAATTACTAATATGCTTATATTTTATATCACACATCAGTGATGTACTAATACTGTCAGGTGCCGGTTATCGAGCACTAAATCCTGTTGTGATGACAGTTCAATAATGCATTTGTATTTTTCCCAACTAACTGAAAGTTTCATAATTGGCAAGTCATAGTCAATATTTGTGTCTAATATTTATCATTGTCTACAGCGAATATTATGTCGGATCAGATAGAAGCATCACATATATGGAACTTCTAGAGAATGATCAGTGCTGGAGTGACCCAGAACAAGTAACAAAGAATTCTGTGGCTTCTTAACAAGCAATTTTTTTTATCATGTTACTACATTCAGCATCTTAAGTTTTTGCCCCAGCCGCCCAGAATCACCTTGTAGGGGAGATGAGTCACAATGAATGAATGAATGAATGAATGAATGAATGAATGAATGAATGAATGAATGAATAATACTGCCTGTTCGCTCAGGGATGCACTTTGGGGGGGGGGAGCTTTGCTATGCATGTATGCGCATAAGTAAAAAAACGATGGAAGAAGAAAAAAATATGGTGGCGCCATAAAACCAGTTCGGCCACATGCCTGGCTGAGTTACTACCTACTAGTCTGAACCAGTAGGAACCCACCTCTGATACATACATACAGACAGACATACATACATACCGTATTTTTCGGAGTATAAGATGCACCTTTTTTCCTCAGAAAAGAGGCTGAAAATCTGGGTGCATCTTA